TTAAAATTTTATAAATAATAAAAAGTAAAATAAATAAACAAGTGAAAATACAAACAATCACATCTAAACAATAATATTGATATAGAGGTAACATCACCGATGGATTTTGAAGATGTTTTGCACTTTTGTGTCTGATTAAATATTCTGACCACCATACCGCTTTTTCTAATCCAGTCATTGGCTGATCTAATGCTATCTGAAGTAGTTTTTCGGTATTATTTCGATACCTATAATTTTAAAGCATAATTAATCAATTGATATTTATAATTAAAGCAACGCTTCATTCACGTTATAACGTAAATGTTTTGGTAGCTGACAATAGACCAAACTATAACTAATGGAATGCTACTAAAAGTTGCCTAACAACATCAGCGAGTTCTTACCGAAGAAAAAGAAGAAGTGAGCGCATTTAAAAAGTGAAAGGCACAATAAGTTTTTAGTATAACTTTTATCGTAAACGTGTGGTTGTGGTGTGGATGTTGATTTTATTATTGTTAGGTTAGTTAATAAAACGCGAGTGTTTAATAAACTATTTAGTGATGATCTGCTCCTTGGAAAGAATTTTTGAAAAGTAAGTCGTTTGTTGTTTGTTCTAATACAAATAGGCATGAAGAAATGTTTTGATAAGAAGCAAGAAGTTTTTTAAACAAAACAGTAAAATTGAATGTTTACAAGGTTTTTCATATATGTAAATATTAGTTTAGGGTGATTGTTATGTACATATGAATATTTTAAATTTTGACCCACCTTTTGTCAGTGATAATTTCCTGAATAGCTGCTTTGAAGTTATCTTTTTCTATCTTTTGGTGATCTAAGTATAATCCCATTCCTTTTTTAATAACCCTTTCAATGTTGTGTTTCTGATCAGCAAAAAACGGTATACCAATAATTGGTACTTTGGTATACAGGGCTTCCTCAAGTGATTGTAAACCTCCTTGAGTGATAAAAAGCTTCACATTTGGATGACCTGTAATGTTTACGTGATAATTTTTTTAATGTTTTCTTGTACAAGTATTTACTGTACTAACGTAAAATATCTTGTTGCGGAAACCAAGTATTAATTAATATTTTATTGGAAAACGACGAGAAGTTGTGATCCATTTTCCAAAGAACTTTGTATGGTAATTCGTTAAATGTTTCCGTAATTATCTTCATTGTTTCGTTACAAAGATGTTTCACTTCGACATTTGTTCCCAAACTGAAATAAATGGCCCCTTCCTGAGCATCGTCCAAAAACATTTGGATGGCCTAAAATATTTTTGTTCACAATTAGTGATTACGGTGATAGTTTTTTTCTGTAAAATTTATTGATATAAGATTTTTGTGTTGGCTAGTACCTTTGGTAGGGGTTTTAGTGGTTTCATATGAACATTTCCTCCAATTTGTATGAAGGCCGGAACTACAGCACGGGCATCGAAAAGGGCTAAATTAGTGTTAACGAATAACAAGGAAACATTGCTTCTAATTTCAGCAATACTCGGTATATCGCTACCAAAAATTTCTTTTGCTTTGTAATCTTCAATTAGTTTCTCGTAGAGGTAAATGACAACACGCATGATGTAATGCACTACTGTACTAAGTATTCTTTCTAAATAAGTGTTAGAACGTATATAAGGCAAAAGCATAAAAGGGTGCAAAACGGGATGAACGGGAAGTCCTATATCGTCATATACCACATCCGGTAAATCCATTGACGACATCCCTATATACGGGCATTTAAATCTGTGACCAAGTGCGCCTAACATGGGGTAAAGATATTCAATTATTACCAAATCAAAATGCTCTTTTGGATCGTGTATCATTTTTTTAAAACTGGGATGTTCTATCAGTTCGTAATCTAAAAGTTTGCTAAACATTTTCAAGGTGTTGGTAACTTTTTCGTATCCATCGCTGTGATTTATTAAAGTATCCAGGACTTCGCTTTTCCATATTTGGTACGCGTAACTCCAGTCTACTTCTGTTAGGTTTTTTAGAGAAGGGTCTTTTAAAGGATTCGTTGTGAAAACTACTACTTCGTGCCCCCTTTTCAGAAATTCTTTCCATAATGGTTGAAACACTACTTGATGACTGTAGGATGGTGTGGGAACAATTCCCAGGATTCTCGCCGAATTAACATTTTCACTGAAACAAATAACGATGAAATAAAGTGTAAATTTTGGTAATACCATTTTGAATAAAATGCTTGTAAATTTAATTTTACAATTGCTGTAGGATGAATCTTACTGGATTCAAATAGATATTTCACGAAGATAAGACGCATTGTTTAATTAATATTTAAATGATATCATATGATAATTAATAATGTAAATATGTTTTTCATTTATTTTCATAAACTTGCTTTTCTTTTTACGTGTTGTGAAGGACGGATCCATAATAGACCTTTTATCAAAATGTTTTCTGATAATACATTAAAAAAATATTTTTAAAGGAAAATAAAATCACATTTAATTCTTCTTTAAAAACTAGTTCTTCCCCCCTATCAGTTACTGCAAACTCGAATCTGTTAGCACCATTGCTTCGAGTGGTCGAAATTCACTTTTGTAAACAATTTGTTTAATCACTTTCTTTGTATTAAAAATTAAATTTAAAGAAATTGTTTGTAAATAGGTATGCAACACGTCGTACACTTCAGCATAAGAAATTGCTGAAACTTTCATTTACGTAATACTATTTTGCCCTGTGCTGACAGCACTCATAATTTCTTTTGTATATAATATTATCAGTAGTCAATAAGGAAATGTTTTTAATACATAAATGTTAATTCAAATGCAGATTTTCCAAGAATTCGTTATAAATTAAAGTCATATTGCAATAAAATAAGTTACTTGTCTAGATTATAAAATTAAATAACCGAAATAAATAAAATTGTATATATGCATATTTATAGTATAAGAAAATAGTTAAAAACTTTGGGTTATTAAAAAACGAGAATTAAGACGTAAAGTAAAAACCATTTATTGCTTTATTTGTTAACATGCTTAAATTTATATATTTTATTTTTTGAGCTTTGCTTGTCCCTTAATGTCTTCTTCTTCCTTTTTTGAATGTTTTTGTTGTCGGTTTTCTTTCTCCCTTTTTCGTCACTTTTATAATTTCCTTTTTTAAATAACCATTTGGCTTTTAAGCGTCCTGTTTTGGATTCTGCGGCATTTTTTGCGACGTTTATAGCTTTATCGTTTTCTTCAATTAATAACAAATTCGATGCATTCATAAGAGTAGGATATTTCCCAGAAAAGCCAATTGTAAACACCGGTTTATTCAATAGATCTGCAAGTTGTTTTCGTTTCTTTTGAACATACTTTAAAGAGTTTGCTGAATCCAGAAAATTATCTTCCTCTTCCTTAACCCTGTTTTTAAACTAAGGAATTTAAATACCTTTCGCAGTAAATATAAACTAACGTATGATTAAAAGGATACAAATCATCATCTAAAATTATGTCCATGTCATCAGCTGCTTTTTGTAACCATCCTTTTTCAGAGCTTTTCTTACGATTTTGAAGCTCCAATTTTTCAACTTCTCTTGCCAAATTTACTCTCTGTTTAACAGCTGCGAGAATGTTTTGTTGTACTGGAAATAATGGCATATCTTCCCCTATAACACGTATATTTGACATTTTTCTATTGATGGACATAATGCGCTTATAAAAAATTTATTTATGAAATATCGTTAACTGTTTAATTACCTTTCCCTAACGTTCTACACAAACGTAAATAGCTTTGAAGTTCGGAGGGATCTATTAAAAGTACAGTAATTCCGTCTTTTGAAGCCCTAGCTGTTCGGCCTGATCTGTGAACATAACTTTCACTTGTCCTAGGCATTTGATAGTGTAGAACATGATCTACACTTGGAATATCTAGACCCCTAGCAGCAACATCTGTCGCAATTAATATACTTTGTGGATCATCTCTAAATCTAAAATAATATTTAATAAAAGCACCAAACATATACACACTTGTTCTTTCAGTTTTCAATCAGTTTAATTAAAAATTAATGCTATAATCAATTACCTGTCCAAATTTTTTAAACGTTGTCTCTGCTGCATTGAAGCATGAAGTGGTAAAACATTAATTTGTAAGACAGATAATAAACTATTTAGCCTTTTAACACAGCCAATGGAATTGCAAAATATTAAAGTTCTTCCTGGATACTTTTTCAAAAAGTAGTATATGTAGTAATCTTTCTCATCTATGCTACAAGAAATTCTGCATTCTGTTAATGTTTGGACTGTTTTACCTATAAGCACAAAAGTTACTGCTAGATATATTTGCCTTCACTAGTAATATAAAAGTTGCAAACCTGTTCTATCAGTAATATCTACTACTTTAGGATTTGTCATGCCTATAAGTTCTATTATTTTTTTAAGTTTATATTCTGAAGATGATTTATTTATCTTTCTGCCTCTTTTAAGAAGTAAATGTTTTGGTAATTCATGTTCTAATGTAAGTGTTGCAGAAAATACGAAATTTTGCCTGTTTTTCTGCTCATTTTGCATTAAATTTATCTTTTCTAAAATATCATGTAATTCTTGAAAGTGGCCTCTTTCTAGCATTCTGTCAGTTTCATCTATTGCTAAGAACCTAAATATAAAAAATATATAAATAATGGAAATTTAATCTGAGGTCAGTTTAAGCTTTCAATTTTACCTAATTTTGTCAATTGAAGACAAATGAGAGTTTCCAAGCTGAATTAATTCCCATAATCGTCCTGGAGTTGCAACAACTATTTCAGGATTTTTACTAAGAAGTCTTTCTTGTTTTTCTGCAGACATTCCCCCAACAACAACTGCTATTTTTATATCTAGCAGAAAATATGTATGTTTAATTTGCATTTTCTCTATTTGGAATATAATTTACTTTACCTGTGTATTTGGCAGCTGCTGTCAGGTGATTCTTAACTTGAATTGCAAGCTCTCTTGTTGGTGTTAGAATTAAAGCATTAAGAGGGTTAAATTCATCAGATGATTTATGATCTAATAGCTCCTTTCGTTTCAATATTCCTGAAAGTATTGGTAAGCCAAAAGCTAATGTTTTACCACTACCAGTTTCTGCTGCACCCAGAATGTCTTTCTTTCCTAAATAAAAGTGAGAATTAAACGATTGTAAAAATTATACAGTTTTGAATGTACCAAGAATTGCTGAAGGAAGGGTGAGCGCTTGAATATGAGTAGGATATAAAAAGTTCTGATCAGCAAGAGCTTTTATAAGGCTTTCTTGTAAACCAAATTTATGCCATGCTTCCATGTTCTTTACTTCTTCATCTTCTGCCGAACTTTCTATAAATGTTGAACCACATTTTGAGGGAATTAAATCTAGATCATTTTCACATGCTGACTTGAATGATTTTAAAAGTTTGGGTTTTTTCTTATTGGCATATCTCTGTTCTACATTTTTCCTCTTCTTTGTCTAAAAATTAAAGCAGAAAATACATAAAGATTAGTATAAATACAATTACATTAACCAATTTTTAATTTTTTATTTACTTCCAAAGGTTGGGACTGAAACACATTCAGGTCATAATCTGTACATTCTTCGATAGCTACAAGTCCTTCCGGAATTCCGTTGGAAAATAGGGCTTGATCAAGTTCTACTGGCTTCCAATTAATCCTTTTACCCTTCATCTTGTTTAAAAACTTCTTTCTAATGTTATTCTACACAAAAATTTGAAGGTTAGGTTAACAATTTATTAGGCTAAATAAGTATGACAAAGATTATAATCTTTTTGTCCTCTTTTGCAATTAAGACGTTTATCACACTGATTCTGTTTGATCGATAGATCACAAATAAAAAATGATATCTATCAAGCCTTTAGTGCACATTTATTTAAATTTTTCAACAAAGCATGCTATGCATTGTCGACATTCTTATTGGCTATCCGGAGTTCGGGTTGCGGTGGTTGCCTAAGATTAAGGTTGTTTATTCATAAATTGCAAGACAAAAAAGTAGTTTAAATTTTGAATAAGTACGATTATTACTTTATTCATTATTGGAACGGATTTGTGTTGACGACTTTCGGTATTGCTTAGGTGATTAACTGGATTACTTTCAAATTATTATAGTTTATAATTTTTCATTGATGTTAATTTCATTATTGTTTTAATGTTCCTGAACGTATAGAACACACGGAAAATTTCAGTGGAAAGTCTTGAAAAATTTAGTATCAAATCAACGTTCAGTATAATTTCAATTCATGGTTTTATTAAAAAAAAATAATTCAGTTTCTAATACTTTTATTCTTCATGAACTTTGTCTGTAATAAAGAGGGTATTTGGGATACGGCATGGTGCCGCCTGTTGAATTAAAATTCGTGTCCGGGACGTTTGCCGGTTACGAAAAATCCTTCGGCGACCCAAATTATCTTTTCCAAGGACACCAAGGACGTTTGTCGTTGAGACGGGCCTGTATCTAAGGATAACGGGACGCAAGCGCCCTTTCTCGCCGATTTTCAATTTTTTATTATTCTTTAAAGACTAGCGCACCGTACGCAGGCAACGACAGTGTACAAATACGAATGTGGACGATGGTGGTGTACGAAGTTTTAGTGTTGATAAAATAAAAATTTTTGAAGCTGGGCTACTCTTGTCCCCCCGTTGCGAACTTAGGTCAAGGACGTTTTGTACCTATCTGTCTATTTAATTCGTTTGATACCAAACCTGATAGTAGTTGTAATTGTGTTTTAAAATGAACATAAACGAAAAATTTTAAAAAAAGTGTTCTACTCAGTGTGATTTGTCAGCTATTACTTATCAGTGTATGCATTGTTCCTCGTTAAACACTTCTTGCGATAGCATGCAAAAAAAGAAAAACGGACCATCAAAATGACAGCAGTTTCTGAAATTGGTTTCGTTAGTGGTGAGTTTGAATGTTTTAATCATTTGTATTTTATTTAATGAAACACTACAGTAGTTTGTGGTGTAGTTTATATATATATATATAATTCCTAAATTATTATATAAAACAGATACATAGCTACTGATAATTAAGCATAAGTGAAAGTGAAAATTTTTAAAAGTTTTTTACCATTTTTATTGGTCGAGATGCATTATAAAAATGTATATGTCCACTGTGTAATTTCAACACCAGTCCTTAAACTTTAAAATTGTTCGTATTTTAATTAAATTACAGATTTTTGTACTTTTCTAGTCATGTAATTNAAATATAAATGAATTATTATTAATGTTAATAAATAGAAATACATAACAAACAGAAATACAGGATTAGCTGCCCATTATAAAACATTTTTTTAAAATTGTTTTTAATTAAAATACGAAATGTTTTTAATTTTTGCCTGTAAATTATTCAAATGAATATCTAGAGGTCTCTTTTTCCAAACTTGTATCTTATTTTTTGTATACAAAAATATGGGTGTATATATGTATCTAAATAACAGTTTTAATAATTATTTTACGAATGCCCAAATTAAGAATAGATGTAAACCCATTAAACCGGATCGGACATCCTTTCTTATCCAACTTTTGATTAAAAACAAGTCTTTTTGTAATTTCTTCTTTCTTTTTCTTCACTTTTTTGTTCGTTTCATGTTTACCGTTTACTTATTTATATGTTAATCTTGTTTTCAAAGGTAGGTAAAAACTTTAATCTAGTCTAGTCTAGCATGGTAAAAAAGGAAACGAAAAATATGTTTGTAGATAAACAAATTATTTGATATCTTGTATTACTCAAGCGCCGCAGCACGATAATATTTAATGCTACCGTTAAATTACAAATGTTTTGCAAATTAAAGTCAAAATCTAATACGCATTTCGATAGCCATCAAGGTGCCATCCCCAGTATAAAACTATTAGACAGGAGCGGTTCCAGAACTCTCCTTTAGAGGAGACAATGGTGAGATCTACAAATTTTAATTCATAAAAGAGAATTTCAGTAATAGGTATTATTAATTATTTATAGGTACTTTCTTTTATAATCCCATTGATTAAAATTTGAGTTCACTTACCAATTATTCCGAAATCTTAGATTGCAATTATTTAATGTGTTCCATTTCTTCCTCTTAAGTTTATGATAACAATAATAATAATAAGATGAAATTAGAGCCAAATCGTAGTAAAACCACACCGACGTTTCGCCTCTGGTTTGAGATTTTATCAATGTAGGTTTTTAAGTGTCACCATTTTTAAAACTGGAGTTATGTTATTATTAACTTTCAAAATTGAGTATCTTCTAGCAGTATACATACATATATATGTATGTATTCTACACGTTGCATTACATCTAAAAATGGGCAGAGTTGTAGTATCTTTTTTCCTTTAATTCAAGAAAAAAGCCTTTTTTAATTTATTCTGTTGATGGCGAATAAGCTAACGTTATGAATATGATAAATATGCAAATTTTATACTGCAGAGCAAACAACTGCAAGATGTCAGGCAGACATGGATTATACAAGTAATTACGTGCACAGCTCTAACTTTTTTACTGTTGTATTTACATGCAGATGTACAAAGGAAAATTTTACTTGTCATCTTTTGATCTTACACGAATTGGTATTATCACTAAGATTAATCCTTCATTAAGATTGTAATACATCAAAAGTTATTTCTCCAATCGCACGCTTACCGAACATAGAAATTACACATTTCCTTGTCGAAATTTTCTGAACTTGAACGTGATAAAAAAGTGTGGATATAATGGATTTTTGATTCAAAAAATCAAAATTTTAATTTTTAATTTTTTTACGCGATAGATTAGGTTTACAAATTGATTTCATTTTCATTCGTTAAAAATTGAAATTTTCATTATACATATATGTATGTAGTATATACATAATACCTACCTATGTTATATATACATATGTACCTATAGGTATGTATAAGTACCTATACATGCAATCCTTATATGAAGCCGAAATTTAATTTCTCTGTCAGGTCTCCGTGCTCGGTAATAAATCGGGATATTCCCGAAAGACCTTTCAGAGTTTTATTCATTTTGAATATGAATACATATTTTATGCCTTTCGCTCAGTAAGTTTTTAATGAAACCTGATAATCAGGTGAAGATAATAAAAGACGCGCTGGTCCATACTGTCGGATTTGCATCGCTAAAGTTTGTTAGGACATTTTGAATAATAAACATTAATGATCCGCTTAAAGAAGCTTCTATCTTTCATTGTTAATTTTAGATGTGGCAATCGAATTTCAAATCAATTGCAATTTTAACGTTACGTTTCATCTTTGCAAATAACTACCTACATAGCGAAGACAAAATTAGAAATTTTTGGGCTTGAATTAGACTGCGGGCTTTACGGAAATCCCCATTTCTTTTTCCATTCGAACATTGGTTAGCATTAGTACTCAAACAATGCTTAAGTATTAGACTTTATTGGTTTCTAGTTCATGTAGTATTTCTTTGAAGAATATACAGTAGTGGCGAAATGATAACCGAGAATGCGGATATTCTATTACGGTCTACTTCAATTTGTTAGAATTGTGACCTTGAAGAAATCTGCGCGAAGATAGAAAGAATATACACTAGGCGTGAGCAAGACAGGAATAGTTGGAACAAGCATGAACGAGCAGAGCTCTCTATGGGCGGTCTTAGGAGATCGACTAGAACTGTACAGTACTAGACGAAAATGTTTAGCAATTTCTTAAAACAAAAATGTATATAAATTAACAATAGAAAACAAAGCAAAAGTTTTATAGGTGTGTAGAACGTTAAGTTAATTCACTTGTTATTATTTTTGGCTGAATATGCTTTTAAATAAAGCATAAATAATTTTGCAAATGGTACTGTACACTTTTGTCTAGTTCTCGTTCGATGATCGGTGGAGAAATGAGTTCCGCAGACAAATATGATTGAATTTGGAATTATGCTATGGCGCATCCTAATAAAGGGAAGGGGCATATCTCTAACTACTTGAAACGAACAGTATATGTGTGTAGGAAAATTCGTACAAATGCCGTCAGTCATCTTTTAATATCCTAATTAATATTATAAATCCAAATGCGAGTTTGTTTGTTACTATTTCACGTCTTAACTACTCAACCTATCATCATGAAATTTTGTACACACATTGTCGAGGGTATAGAATAGAACATAGGATACCTTTTATCCAAAAACAAAATAATATTTCTGAAGGACAGAAAATATTACTTTTTAAGTGGTCGTTGATGATCTTTGATACGTATTTAGGACATCAACCAAAAAATTTTTAGTATGCAAGTACTAGTTAAATCATCAGTGCCTTTTTAACTAAATTTTGATTGATTTGAATTATTTACTTAAAATAAATTAAATTTAATTTAAAGTAAACACGTGAAATTGTTCTAGTACACGTGTAGATATAGTAGAATCCTTAACTAATAATTACTTTCTGTTACGACAAGAAACGAGGTTGATTCTAACAGAATAACCAACGTAATTAATTAGCTACATAATTAACCCCTTATAACGACACATGCAAGCGTAATTTGGTATTGCAGCATGATGCAGTGAAGGTAAATATAAAGGGTTATTTTTGCACAAATAAACAAAGAGGTTGGATAGTAGTACGGATGTACAAGCGTTGAATAGAAAAATAATATTCATAAATTATTAATTTTAGGATTAACGATAAGTTAAAAGAATCTGTATTATTATCACTTTTTTCTGATTGAGCTGGCATTTTAAGGGTTCCGTACCTCAAAAGGAAAAAAGGAAAAAGGGTCATGTATAGGCACATAAATTATTTCAATATTAATTTTTTGTAAGTTTGAAATGTTTCGTTTTGCGCTTCAAAATTCACATTTCTCTCTCTGATAAACGAAATTCCTCGTTAATTAGAAATTCTTCAGGCAAAATATAATGTGTGATTATTACCATCAGGGTTACGGTTGGTTTGATGGGTTTTCTTGGAATATATCTGCTCTGTTACCGATTTTTTAGGGATTATGGTTTTTTGTGATTTACAGTGAGCACTTTTGACCTTCGGACAAACATAAAACATATAAACGGTTCAAAAAAATGTTTTAAAAGTTAAAATTTGTGAGCTATACACTTGGTACATGTCCAAGAAGATTTTTCTTTGAACTAGTTCAAAGAGGGGTTTTATTCTATTCCATATACTAAAACTTCAATTTTTTTCTTTCTTTATCTCATTGATATACTTACAGATGTATCCTTAGCACAAATCCTTTCAGCCTTTCATGTACAGACATAATGCCTCATTTGTTGGAGCTTATAACATATTTTTTAGTGTATCTACTCCTGTTTTCGAGTCGAGTCTGTCGATTCATCGATTCAAAATTGTTTGAATTTATATACTCTTTCAGCAACTAAAACGTGCATTTATTTTTATATATGCAATTTGAAAAAGTAGGGAAAGAGCGAATATAAAGATAGGAGACGAAAAATTAGAAGAAGTGGCTGATTTTAGATACCTAGGAAGTCAGATAAGTGAGGATGGAAGGAGTAGTAGGGATATAAAGCAGAGGATAGCGCAGGGTCGTGTCGCCTTTAATAAAAAGAAGTCACTTCTATGCTCGCGAACGGTTAATTTAGAAATTCGAAAAAGGTTGTTAAAGGTGTATGTTTGGAGCACGGCGTTGTACGGGTGCGAAACATGGACAGTGGGAGCGGCGGAAAAGAAAAGGTTAGAAGCGTTCGAAATGTGGTGTTATAGGCGGATGATGAGGATATCGTGGGTAGAAAAGGTTAGAAATGAAGAGGTATTGGAAAGAATAGGAGAACAGAGGACTCTATGGAAGTCAATAAAAAATAGGCGAGATAGGTTGGTAGGACACCTTCTCAGGCATGAAGGTCTAGTCAGAGACATATTAGAGGCAGAAACAGGAGTTAGGAGGGGTAGAGGTAGACCTAGATTAGATTACTGTTCGCAAATAGTTAAGGATGTGGGCTGTTCTAGTTTTAGGGAAATGCGAAATTTAGCTCAGGATAGGAAAGAGTGGAGGTACGTGTCCAACCAGTCTTAGGACTGATGACCTTATGATGATGATGATGATGATGATGATTGATATATAATACTTGTACGAATAATAGCTCAGTTACGAAGATAATTTAATAAAACATAAATGTATGTCGTAGTAGATAAGGTGGATGAGAATAGGAAAGACTGTTGTTTTTGCATTTAAACTAATTTTTGATTGCTAATTAATTCTTGACTGCTTATTGGATAGTATAAACCTGGAAGAATGTATAAATATTGTGAACGAATTTTTTCTTTGGTTATCCAAGCATAAATTATCCTGAAATTTTGTACATACATTCTCAGGGTACAGAAAAGGACGTAAGGTAACTTTTATCTAGAAGAAAATACTATTTTTGAAGGATAGGAAAAAATTAGTTTTATGTGGTCGTCGATGATCTTTGGTCATGTATTTACATTAACGCGAGCGAAGCCGCAGGTAAAACCAATCATAAAATTTTGTCCGGGATACCGAAAAGGACATCATAAGGTCGTCAGTCTTAAGACCGGTTGGACCCGCACTTCCACTCTTTCCTATCCTGAGCTAATCTTTTTTCTAAAACTAGAACAACCCATATCTTATCTAGGTCTACTTATACCCCTCCTAATTTCCGTTTCTGCCTCTGACTAGACCAGGCGTCGGCAATCTGCGTCTCTTTGGATGTGAAGCTGCGGCTCTTTAGGTCCAATCCCAATAGTCTTCCAGATTGTTACAGTGAGGTGAAGAAGTTGCCGTGTGGAGTGCTGACTATCTTCGGATCGACATATTCGTGCGAGCAAGCCCTTGCATGAATATAATTAAAAGTAAAGTAAGAAGCCAACTAACAAATGAAAATTTAGAGTGTGTTTGAAACTTAAAACAACAAGTTATGAGCCATATTTATCCAAAGTTTCTAAAATCATGCAAAGCCAACACTACCATTGAATTTGTTTGCTCAAATGTATGATATTATTCTTTTTTTTATTCTAACTACAAGTTACATTGTTTAGTAAAGTTTAAATTTTCTACTTAAATAACCATGCAAAGCCACGGCACCCATTGAATTTGTTTGCTCAATTGTTTGTTATTGAAGTACAACTTAGTGTTGTATATAAATAAATAATTTTTCTTATGAATAAATAGATATTCTTTCTTATGAAAAAAATTTATTTAAATGCGAGTACTATTTATTTTTGGCAAGAAAAAAATTTGTGACTCTGTAAAAACTTTGAAATTTTGTAAATTATAATTTTCGACTCTTCTGACTCAAAAGGTTGCCGACCCCTGGACTAGACCTTCATGCCTGAAAAGGTGTCCTACTAACCTATCTCGCTTATTTCTTATTGACTTCCATAGAGTCGTCTGTTCTCTTATTCTTTCTAATATCTCTTCTTTTGTAACCGTCTCTATCCACGGTATCCTCATCATTCGTCTGTAACACCGCATTTCGAACGATTAATCTTTTCTCAATTTTTACCCACAAATTAATGAGGAAAAATTTGTTGCTGTTGTCACACCCCCGCCGGGAATCGAACCCGGGCTCTTTGGCTTTACGCGCCAATGCTCTGACCACTAAGCTACGAGAGATGACAACAGCAACAACGACAAACCGTACTTATTAGGTCACAGATCCGTCGAACTAATTTAACTATATACTGAATATAAATATACATACAATGTAGAAATCTTCCCGAAGTGAGTTTGTTTTAATATGAAATATTCTCAATTTTTACCCACTACACATTACCTCAAATTAATGAGGAAAAATTGTTGCTGTTGTCACACCCCCGCCGGGAATCGAACCCGGGCTCTTTGGCTTTACGCGCCAATGCTTTGACCACTAAGCTACGAGAGATGACAACAGCAACAACGACAAACCGTACTTATTAGGTCACAGATCCGTCGAACTAATGTAACTATATACTGAATATAAATATACATACAATGTAGAAATCTTCCCGAAGTGAGTTTGTTTTAATATGAAATATTCTCAATTTTTACCCACTACACACTTCCTCAAATTAATGAGGAAAAATTTGTTGCTGTTGACACACCCCCGCCGAGAATCGAACGCGGGCTCTTTGGCTTTACGCGCCAATGCTTTGACCACTAAGCTACGAGAGATGACAACAGCAACAACGACAAACCGTACTATTAGTCACAGATGTAGATGACTAATGTAACTATGTACTGAATATAAATATATATACAATGTAGAAATCTTCCCGAAGTGAATTAGTTTTTAATATGAAATATTCTCAATTTTTACCCACTACACACTTCCTCAAATTAATGAGGAAAAATTTGTTGCTGTTGTCACACCCCCGCCGGGAATCGAACCCGGGCTCTTTGGCTTTACGCGCCAATGCTCTGACCACTAAGCTACGAGAGGGGGTGTGACAACAGCAACAAATTTTTCCTCATTAATTTGAGGTAATGTGTAGTGGGTAAAAATTGAGAATATTTCATATTAAAACAAACTCACTTCGGGAAGATTTCTACATTGTATATTAATCTATTCATCTCGTCTTTTAAATTGTCTAATTTCTTTACTTGCCCCATTGTCTTAACATTCCACGCTCCGACTAGTGAAATATTGCACCTACACCTATTGCACTTATTGATGATATTCCCCGAAGTAGTCCCTGTCCGGACATCCGAATAAGGGACTAGTTTACGTTTGGAGTGCTTTACCCCAGAGGACGCCATCATTTTGTTTCGGTGAGTTTTACTTGGGATATCATGATGTGGTTGCTTCCCGTTGAATTCCACGTCGCAGTATTGTTTTTTTTATGTTTTCGTGGAAGAGGGAAACCTTCAAATCACCCAGCCGTCCGTACGACTGGGTAGTGTCGGATTCCGGAGGAAGAAGTCTACCGACTAAAACCTTCCTACCTCAGGCCGTTTTAGGACCAATTAAGGTCCTCTTCAACCTGCAGTATTGTGCATCAGAGTGCCATACCGATCCTCGTGATCTCTGCCACCCTGAGTACTGAAAGAACTACTGCCCTCTTTCAGGGACTTCTCTTAGTCTGGTTTTTTATAAAAAAGGACGTAGAGTACCTTTTATCCAGAAAAAAATACTGTTCCCGACGGACAGAAAAAATTAGTTTTATGTGGTCGTCGATGTACTTTGACACGTATTTAGGACATCTCAACGCGAGATATAGAAAATTATTATTATTGGTTTGGTTTACGTGCTTAAAATTAGAATTGAATGTAGTTGTCGTCAACAATTAAAAACAAAACGTTCCTGTTTTATGATCTATAATAAAAAACGCTAGGACGTATCCACTGTGCAGAATGCGGGCGAAAAAGCTTTTGTTACTCAACTTATCGAAAATACTCCTTCTTTCAATTGAAAATGGATTAATCATTAAGTGCAGTCATTCGATTATCGTAGTTAAATTTCGAGCTCGTCCCCTCACAGATAACACAATTACGACACTACGTAGATCTATTTTTGATTCAGAAATGTTTCATCCAGTAAAAAATTGGTTTAGTTGAATTATATTAAAATTATCTTCCAATGGATTTTTTTACAGTTATTTCTTTTATGTGTANCGTTCAGTATAATTTCAATTCATGGTTTTATTAAAAAAAAATAATTCAGTTTCTAATACTTTTATTCTTCATGAACTTTGTCTGTAATAAAGAGGGTATTTGGGATACGGCATGGTGCCGCCTGTTGAATTAAAATTCGTGTCCGGGACGTTTGCCGGTTACGAAAAATCCTTCGGCGACCCAAATTATCTTTTCCAAGGACACCAAGGACGTTTGTCGTTGAGACGGGCCTGTATCTAAGGATAACGGGACGCAAGCGCCCTTTCTCGCCGATTTTCAATTTTTTATTATTCTTTAAAGACTAGCGCACCGTACGCAGGCAACGACAGTGTACAAATACGAATGTGGACGATGGTGGTGTACGAAGTTTTAGTGTTGATAAAATAAAAATTTTTGAAGCTGGGCTACTCTTGTCCCCCCGTTGCGAACTTAGGTCAAGGACGTTTTGTACCTATCTGTCTATTTAATTCGTTTGATACCAAACCTGATAGTAGTTGTAATTGTGTTTTAAAATGAACATAAACGAAAAATTTTAAAAAAAGTGTTCTACTCAGTGTGATTTGTCAGCTATTACTTATCAGTGTATGCATTGTTCCTCGTTAAACACTTCTTGCGATAGCATGCAAAAAAAGAAAAACGGACCATCAAAATGACAGCAGTTTCTGAAATTGGTTTCGTTAGTGGTGAGTTTGAATGTTTTAATCATTTGTATTTTATTTAAAGTACTTTTCCAAACGTATTTTCTATTTGTAAAATGCAAAATGAACTTTTGCTAGTATCATAGATCAAACTATATAAAATAGTGAATTAAAGTTGCTCACATTGGCCATTGAAGGTGTTAGAAGCTTAAAAAGGAGACAAAGAGACATTCTATGAATGTCTTCTAATTATTTAACTTAAGAGAGCCAAAAAAATTCTAAACTTGAAAATGGATAATCTAAAATATTGGATCGATATTGTTTTCCGGGTTCAGTGCCATGGTCCATGGAATTTTAAAGTTCCAAACTGATATCAGCACCTGCCAAATCACCACTTAGCTTTTAAAGACTACGAAATTCTATGAATTACGGCAAAAGAGCCCGCAAAACAATATCGAATTGATATATGCCAGCTGTGTAAAACTGAAAACTACAAGATATTGTGGTGTGCTAATAAAAGCATATAATCCAAAATTCTGAGAAAACGATTCGAAAAACTTCACTTATTAGATGAACCCAAAGCTAAAGAAAATATGGATTCCATTCCTTTTTCTTATTAAAGTGTGTAAAAGATAAGAAACATAATAGGGTTGTAAGTATTTTGATATAAAATGATTGATGTTGATTCTACATCAATAAAATTATTTGCAACCCTATTTTGACTCTGATCTTTCACGCTAAACAAATTATTTTGGCATCAGTATCTTTTTTCCAATTAAAACGGGTGACAAAGGTAAATAAGAAAGCATACAGAAGAATTATTTGTTGCTGAACTAAAGAAACTATAACATAAAAATAGAAAAACTGTATCTCAATCTGATATAAATCGTACTCAATGGGTGGTGGTATATATAGTGGTGGTGATATAGTGCAAAGACCACTATTAGCCTAGAATAAACTGCAATATTTAAAAAATGAGCAAATGTCTGCAAGGTTTTCTTAAAAAATATTTTATACTTAAGTAAAAGTAGAAAATTAAATAGGTACCTACTACAAAAAAGCATTTATTTGAAAAAAGTATTTTGAAAATACGTATTTTGTATTTAGCATTTAAATTACATAAGAGAAATCTATCTTGTATTTTACATTTGAAATAACAAATTAAAAAAGTATTTGCATTTTGTATTTAAGTACTTTAAAAAACCATTTTGCACATCTCTATATATAATAGAAAGCAGGTTTAGAAGCTATCTCAATACAGTCAGTCCATTTCTTAGAAAAAGACATTTAAAATAGAAAATGAGATAGCATTTTGTAATTTATTTTTTTTTTTTTTAGTATTTTAGACGAAAATATTTCAATTAAATCCCATGATGGTGCGATGTCCTTATAAATTTTAATATTGTTATCATAATACTTAAAAAATGGCAATGTTTATCATTAAGTCTGGCGTCAGTTGTCGTTTTCGTCTAAATTAATATTTTGCATCCTGTGTATAATCGACGTTTCTACGAAAACCTCTTTCCTTCGTTATATATATACAGGTGTAGTGTTTTCGGTAGTTTTTGGTATTGCACAAATATGGCGCGATGATTTAAAAGAAAACACTAACATAGAATTGGTCTTTAAGATTTTTAATAAACACAACAACAAGAACAATACAATCACAAAACAATAACGATAATAACAATATATGGTAAACTTACGAAATAGCTGGGAGAAAAGAACTAGAAGAACTCTGAAGAACTAATTTTTGAAATTTTTTTTTTGTTTTCGGGGAAGAGGGGAAATCTTCAAAAGACACCCTGCCGTCCGTACGACAGGGTAGTGTTGGATTCACTCTGAAGGAGCGCCTACCAACTAACCCTCTACCTCAGGCCGTTCTAGGACCAGTAAAGTTGGTCCTCTTCAGCCATATGTGTAGTTTTGTTATCTGATTTGTGATTTTTTGTGAGTGTTACTTTTGTGTGTGTGTTTGTGTTTAGTTGGGTTGGTTTTGTGGTTATCTGATGGAGTTGGGTAGGGAATTAAGGTGGTAGATGAAATCATCGGGGAGATCTGGGGTAATGGACAGGAGTCGGGCAGGAATTTTTGAAATTGAAAGTAAGGGTATTTATAGTTAATAGTTGTTGAAGATAGACAAGGAAAAGGGTAGTTTATAAGAAAGACAGAAAGTAGAAGCACTGACGTTAAAAGTTCTCAGAAGTAAACAGAATGGAATGTTATTACGAGGGAAACCAGGTTGTTAGTAATTACAAGACAGGGTACATGAAGGTATAGGGGCTCCAGGTAATGAAGCATGCTCAAGAGTTCGAAATTAAAGTTGAAAGTAAAGATTTAGAAATAAAATACATTTTAGAAAATAAAATTCAAATATTTAGAATATGTACAGATCGCTACACAGGTATACCTTTCATATACACATTTACACATTACATCTCGTCGTTTTCGTTACGAACCTTGCTGTTGCATCAAATCTGTGGGCGTCCATTCATAAATATGCTTCGCATCGCATAACCACCCCTTTCGTCTTTGCATTATTACCGGAAGTGTATGCACCCGTGTATTCATTATCGATATACGATTGTTTGGTACAAATAAGTAAGTAAGTATGTGTTTGCCAAAGTCAAATTTTGCCTCTAGGTCACGAGTATATCCTAGATTCTAGTGTTCAATGAACTTCTGGCTTAGAATCGTGGAGAGAAATCAATATCTCACCTCCTGCGCCGGTGGTGGGAGAGGGTGAGACCAATTCGCGTGGGTGGCCGTCTGAGGGGTTGACGGCATCATAACACAATGGACTTTATCGTTCTTTTTTTCGTTTTAAATAACTTTCTGGTTAATTGACGTGAAAATCTACTTGAGTAAATCAAGTCTAGATTCGATTGAGTGGGAACAACTAAGAATTGTATTATGAAAATCGGCGGAATGAAAGTGATGTGTAAGTGGAACTAAGGGGTGATGGCCGTAAAGACCAACAAGTGGTCGCGCCCACGTCAAAATTTGTTGGAATCGAAAGTAGGTCGTCCACCTTCCTAAGTTCCTCTATCTCTCGATTTTCTTCCATCGGGAGCATATTGTCGTGTTACATCTGTAGGAATTTAAAGTCTACTTTTACCTTTACCATTTTTAAAATGTTCTACACAAACTATAAAAGGAATCCCCTTGCCCAGACCTAAATGGACTTCCCCGAAATTCATCACCCAACACGGAGAAAACTAAATTTTTATGATATTGCAAAAATTGCAATTTTCGGTTGTAAATGACTGAATTTGCTGTAGAAATCGTAGAATTTATTAAGTAACTTGTAATAATCTCTATTTTGACATGTTTTCTTAAAAATTATTTCTGGTTTTTTAGTTATTACAATTTAGTTTATAATATCAACTAAAATACCTAGTAAATTTATTTATGCTGGGATTTTATTTTTACAAATTCGAGTCCAAATTGTAACTTTTACTATTTTCGCTTACGAAGCAACGAGCTAGAGGGATGTATTGTAAATATCGCTTTAATGTTTAGGTAAATTTTCCTTTTTCATTAACTTTCTAAAAAACATTCTCGTTATTTTTTTTGTGATTATTGAAGAATGATTTATTCCAATAATCTTTCCGTGCACTATCCCCCTTGTAGGCAAATATGTAGGGTTGTTCGGAAAGTCATTTCGTTTTTTTTTTGTGGAAATTAAAGCCAGTTTTCGTATAATAAACAAATACTTTATTAAATTATATATTGACCGTTCTGGTCCAACACCTTTTGCCAACTTTCTGGTAGTAGCATAATTCCACGCTCATAAAATTTTTGGTCTTTGCTGGCAAAAAAACTGATCGAGGAGGTTTTTGACCTCCTCATTTGAGGTGAAGGTTTTACCGTCTAAAAAATTTTGGAGTGACCGGAACAAATAATAATCCGATGGTGCCAGGTCTGGAGAATATGGTGGGTGTAGCATTGTATCCCATTCAAGCTGTAAAAGCTTTTGGCGAGTGACCAAACTTGTGTGAGGTCTCGCGTTGTCTTGGTGAAACACTACACCTTTCCTGTTGATTAGTTCTGACCTTTTCTGATCAAAATTGCCGGATCGAAATTTAGCGAACCAGTTTTAGCACTGGCGTACTGTCAACACACCTTCTCCATACACATCAGTCAATTTCATTCTGGCTTGAACAGCATTTTTACCCTTTCTGTAGTAAAACAGTAAGATATGTCGGAAATGCTGCTTATCGCTCTCCATATTTAAAAGGGCACCAACCAAAAACTACTGCGTAGAATTAATTGGAATTTTTCACACACAAGCCTTGCTATATGAGCTCTCAAAGCATATAAAGATTATACGGCTTAAATGTGAAGTTGGGTGCAAAAGAATACAATTTAATCCTCTGTCGGGAATAAACGAAATGACTTTCCGAACAACCCGATATATTAAAAATGGTGTTGAGATAATTCAATGTAGGGCATCCGCACCCCGTACGTAACTCCATTTTAAATAAAGCCCATTTGAACTAAAAGTTAACACACATGTATGTACATCTATGGAGAGGGGAGTGAGCACCTGATTTGTTACAATTGAGCCAGTAGTACTAAGCATACATATACCTTTTTGTAAATTCATGTATGTACTTATGGAAATTTGTTCTTTTCAGGAACTGCGCTATTTGGAGTAGTGGCAGGCTTTGGAAGTCTTATGCTGGTGTTTTTGTTGTATATAAACAAACGATGGTGGTTCAACAATGTGGGAGGAATGTCGTGTTGCAACGACATTTGTCCCCCCGTTTCGTCCAGGCCTGCATCTTCGACATCTTTGCCTAGTTCCATTCTACCACGATCCAAGCAAAAACTAAGTAAGCTATATTTGTTTTATACACATAAGTGTACGAATGTATCAACATATTTTTGATTTCTAAATTCTACAACAAACATGGTTTTGAAATTTTGATGGGCAAAATTTTAGTTTCGCAATATTTAAAAAATGTTTGTTGATGGAAGAAAATGTTCCAAAAAGGCAGTTTTATTGTCCTCAGTTTTAATTGATGATTAGATGTGTTCTGGAATAATTGTTTTAATGGTTCTTCCTTTTTGGTCCATGTATTTAACGTTGCAAGAGCTACAGAGTTGATAAATATCATTCTTACTCACAAGGTCAATTTTTTAACTTAGGGTAAATCCAATGTGTTCGAAAATTAAAGTTATAGTTTTCTACAAGAAGGTTTTAATTAATAGAAACTTAATGACAATTGTAGAAATGTTAACTATATTTGATCCGGTAATATCTATATTATCAGTATAGAATAAAATGTTAATTTTATTGTTAAACAAAAAGCTTTTAGAACCCATTCTTGATAATAACTATTAGATTAAGTACCATTTTCACAAAATCGAACTATTGCCTGTAAAATCTATTTCGATAAAACGAATTGCTAAATATACGTTTCACAGTCATTGTACCAAAGAGACTTTAAATAGGATTACACCTAATTTAGTTTTTCTTTTTTTTTTGTTCCTGTCTGATAGTCCTGCTCCTTGTGCTTTGTGCTAACCTTGTACTCTACATGTAGTCGATAACAAAGTGCGATTGGATACTATAGCAAGTTAATAATAAAACAAAACCTATAATTATATTAGGTAAAGGTGGTTTAGAATCTCATGGGTCATGACCTTGAGTTGTGCAGCGGAGAAGCTTCGTCTGTTCATTGATTTCTACTTCTCAGTAAAATTTTTGGCTGTCAAACTGCTTTAGTCATACCACATGACCCATCAGGGGCGGAGGTGGTCTTTAAAAATATCACGCTTGGTCACAGGGGTGGGGGGAGACTTAGCTTTTTGTCACGTAGTCTTCTTCTAGGGAAATATCACGTTTATTAAAGCTATATTCAAAACATTGTGTTCGCAAAAAAATATTTAAAACCATATTTATGAAATACAACGTGAAAACTAGAGGGGGGAGGGGGATCTTGGCATATACTGTGGGTGATCACCAATGTGGAAGGGAGTAAAAATTGTATAAAATTGGTCACATAGTATGGGTATGTTCCCCTAACAGTCGAGTCAATATTTTTGTTTCCCCCCCGCGCATTTCGCGACCCAGGACATTTTAAACTACCTCTACTTCCTGGATTAGTATAGGTCGGTTGGTAGATTGTTAAACTAGGTCACTATTTGAGGTGTGCGTGGAAGCTATTGTACCTAAAAAGGAAACCACATACACACACACACACACACACACACACATGCACTACCATACAATCATTGCGTTCCTTTCTATACGTTTTCTTCTAGATAGTGGCGGTCACGAAACATTTATGTTATACTAAACAGGCGTTATTTCCTGAAAGCCAGTAAATGAATTTATCTTCCACGCCAACGCGGCTGTATGTAATGATTAATTTTTAATCTGTTCCACCGTCCTTTTACGACTAATTTGTAATGGAATAAGTAGATTGTCGTTTATACTATTAATTATTATGTAATTACTTGGTAAAAATTAGTAGTAGTTCAATAATGTCTATTGTGAACAATCAAAGGGGTTTTGTTGGAAAATTCCGTGTCCATTATTGATCAAAACAGTTGTGAACCAGATTGAAAACAAAATATCGAAAAACCATAGTTTACCTTTAATAAGGTCTACCATTTTTCGGTAACATTTCGTTTTCGTAGTTTATCTGTGTAATTAAAATTATTAAGTTAAAAAAATTACCTACCGAAAGGAAATAAACTATCTATCCTTTTCGTTTTTGTTTTTTACTAAAACATAGGAAAATGCCTATTTATACAGACATCAATATGTTTCTCGTTTTCCATTATCTAAAGAAAATTTTCTTTTGCTAATTTTTATATGTATAGAACTGATGCCTCCAAAAAGAGTTACTTACGTCAATATTACTAATTTAATTATTTAACAATTGTAGAGGTTGGAAAAAAATGTGTAGAAATACCTATAAGAATTTTTGAGAAATATATTTTTCTTCCAATTCAAATTTCACGCCTTAGTCATTCAATCTAGTCTAACCTAACGTTAATTTCATACTATTTTTCCAAAGGTTAATTTTGTAAAGAAATATATTCTCTACAAAGAAGTTACCTGACTTTCGTTACTTTACAAAGTTATTTGTCTAGGAAAAAGTAATTTTACCAATCTTTTTTGATCAATTCTAGTTTTGTCTAGGCAAAACTACAATCTTAGTTATAACTAACATATTATTTCATCATCACACGCACTTCTACTTCTTCCTATCCTGAACTTCGCATTTCGCTAAAACTAGAACTTCCCGTATTCTTAACTACTTGTGAACAGTAATCTTATTCAGGTCTTCCTCTACTCCTCTTAACTTCTGTTTCTGCTTCTATTTGTCACTAAAGTAGTAAAGCTGTTATAGAGATTCATACATGACAAAAAAGGGTTTGATTGGAATTTTCAGTTAAATGTTTCCAAATGTAACAATTAACAATATTAACTCAATTCTGTAACTTTCGTAGATACATTAATTAATTGTTCATGATTGCTGGGCTGAAATAATGAGTGCAAAAAAGTTCTTAAATAAACGATTAGATCCTCAGTTTCATACTTCCTCCTATTTTTAGGAAAAAAAATTGTCGACAAATTTTTTATTTCTTTCTTTGAGACAATAAGGTCATCAGTCCTAAGACTGGTTGGACACGTACTTTTCTATCCTGAGCCAAACTTCGCATTTCCCTAAAACTAGAACAGCCCACATCCTTAAATATTTGCGAACAGTAATCTAATCTAGGTCTCCTCTACCCCTTCTAACTCCTGTTTCTGCCTCTAATATGTCTCTGACTAGACCTTCATGCCTGAAAAGGTGTCCTACCAATCTATCTCGCCTATTTTTTATTGTCTTCCATAGAGTCCTCTGTTCTCCTTTTCTTTCCAATACCTCTTCATTTCTAACCTTTTCTACCCACGATATCCTCATCATCCGCGTATAACACCACATTTCGAACGCTTGTAACCTTTTCTTTTCCGCCGCTCCCACTGTCTATGTTTCGCACCCGTACAACGCCGTGCTCCATACATAGACATAAACATAAACGCGAGCATAGAAGTGACTTCTTTTTATTAAAGGCTACACGACCCTGCGCTATCCTCTGTTTTATATCCCTACTATCTAAAATCAGCCACTTCTTCTAATTTTTCATCTCCTACCTTTATATTCGCTCTTTCCCTACCTTTTCTTCCCTTGCATACCAGTATTTTAGTTTTACTTTTATTTATTTTCATACAGTACTGATCTGTCAGTACCGCTTCCATTTTATTTGAAGCTATCTTTAGGTCCTCCTTGCTAGATGCTAATACTGCTATATCAGAGGCAATACTTACAAGTAAAAAATTGTTTTAATAAAAATCATCATACATCATTCCTCTAGATCAGTGTTTCTCAAACTTTTAAGCCCACAATCCCCCCGTTTTGCACTTGAAAGTGTCATAGAGCTTCCCCTCCTTAATAAGGAGGATGTATTTAAATTTGTATAAGCAAATTTTAAAATGAATTTTTTGGCTTTGGTTTGTTTCCACTGGTCTATAATCAATTTTTCTGTGACACCCCAAATATTTGTCTCAACGACGACGTTCTTGTGGCTCGTAATCTCCACTTTGAGAATCACTGCTCTGGATAATGTAGCAACCTTTACAATCAGGATTTCTACATTAAATCCATTCAATAGGGATTCTCTCTCTGTCCATTTCAGTAAAGACATTTTCCTTTGACGTGGGAGACTCTAGTTCAGAATCCGAAGTGGGTGGATCAAATGAAGCTCAACAGCAAAAACCATGCTCATCGACGGCTTCGACTAATCCTAAAGATGTCTATTACCCACCAAGATCAGCTCAGGATTTATCTTTAGCCGAGAAAGGCAAAGCTGGCATTACCAGCAACAGTTCTTGTTGCAGTTCGACGACTAGTTCAGTTGGAGAAAAACATAGTACTAACACCAATACCATTTCGGCTTTCAGTAAAACTGTTGTCAGCGAACAGATGAACGATAGCATAAGGTAAGCGAAGTGATTGGTGTTTATTCCACTTGTTTTTGCAATGTTTTCGGTCATTTTTATACTGAAATAAAAATGTTGTAACACAGGCCTCTCCAGAGAAGTACAAATAGATTTACTTGGATCTCTTATGAATGTGTTTTGACCGTTAATACAAACAAATATATCGTGGCTGGTTACATTTTTAATTATTTGAATATGAGAAACAGCAACAAACCAAAAAAAATCAATTCCCTTAGTAGGTAACAGCAGGATGTGTGTGGGGGGGGTAGGCGAAGGGTATGCTCGCCCCGGGCGCCTAAAGGATTTTTAATACCTATTAAAACCGACTTTTCTAACATATTAATAATTTAGGTACCTTCTCTCAGCACGCATCCGAAGATCGATTTTTTATCATTAAGGATAAAATTATTGAAATCGAAAGGATCTGTACTAGCAGCGCCAGCTGTTGGTAGCCCATCTTATCCATATAAGTAGTGCCGACTTTGGGGGGATATAAAACAGGTGTTTGACTAATTAACATTATCGCGGTTTAGAAAATACAACAAATGGCGCGGTAAACGCCATCTGTAGTACGATGCTACATTTTAGGATTACGTATGCTCCAACAAGGTCCATTTAAATATATGGATATCTGCTTGCTGAAACGAATCCCGGCGTAGCTCACCTCAACGTGGTAGGCACGTTACCATAATCGAATAAAATAATTCGAAGTGGTCTGTATTCTGTCGAAACTGCCAGACGCGGATCGCGATTTCGATCTTTTTGGATTTCATCAGCGCGTCGACATTGCGTACTTTTTAGGCCGCCCGGTATATTGTATAATAAAAGTAGTTTGTCCGTACGTGCCTCTAAGCTCCGCTATCGAATCCCACAGCCTCATGAGGATTACACGGTATGATAGTCTTCCTTTCTCCGTCCAGTTGGTTTCAATGATAAGGGGGTTAAATTAACACCTTAACTGATGAACTCTTGAAATCCTGAATGATATCTATTTCATTTGTTTTGTACCTTCTTCATGGAAGGGTATCTTGATAATAACTAATTTTTACCTTATAGTAATTACGAATTTATAAATGTACAAGTTCGAAATCGCAATCCACAATTGTAGTTGATGATAATCTATTGTTATTTCACAAGACTAAATTTGATAATTATCTAAGATATTATTAGATATCTGTAAGATATTTATCAATCTTGTCTTTTACGTAATTTTTAAGTGAAATTAACAACAGGTATATACCTATATACTCTTCATTTTCAACTGATTGTTTTGTTGTTATTGTGGTTCCTCTTGTTGTTTTCAGACCGTTCGAATTTTCGGAATCGAAAATAGACAATCAAAATTTGGAATATCAACAAGAACAACAGACAAACTGTAAAAGCGCGAAAATAAATATCCATGACAGTGAAGATGTAAGTTTTTATTACAATTACTCATTGTTTTTCTGCAACATTTTCCATTACTTTCTCAACAACACACATAAGGGTATCTGTTAAGAAAAAGTTCAAATAAAAAATATTAATGGTTGATAAAATTAATGTTCACAAAAAAAATCTTCAAAAATTAATAAGTTGTTTAAAAATACTTTATTGAATATGTACTTTCTGAAAACTGAAAAGATTATTTTTGAATCCATAAAATTGAAAAAGAAAATTTATTTATTAGATGTATAAATTTAATAAAAGAATTCAACCTATTCAAATGATTCAGGTTTGGGTCACAAGGTCACAGCTACTGAAATCAATAAAATGGTTTCTTTTCACTATAATTGTTCACCGATTAATTATTACTATTTCAACGAATTATTTCATCAAATTATCAAGATTACTGACAATGAGTTGGTTTTAATTATGTAGTTTTTTTCTGGGGTGGCGGCTAAATAATTACATAGCTATATTTTTTTTGTAACTTTTCGGTTTATTCAACTATCTTCAGACTTTTGGGTGTTACTCAATGTATACAGAGATTAACTTAATTTTCAACATTCTATCGTGCTTTACAATTATGCAGTTGTTAAACATGATAGAATGTTTAAAAATAAGTTAACATCTGTGTACAAGCAGTAGCACCTGAAAAGTCTGAAGATGATTGAATAAACCGAAACGTTACAAAAAACATATAGGTAGTTGTGTAATTATATGACCGTCGCCCTGGAAAAAACTACATAATTTGATAGTAACGGTCAAGAATCTAACTTAAGTTAGTTTTAATATTATTGCTTATTGTCGATCGCAACGTTTTTTTATTTATCCATCAAAAGCAGTGCATCCTGGTGATGAACCCGAGCGAGGCCGATCTGGAAAGCGGAGATTTGTTATCAAACTTAGAGTCGGATCGACTAGAACCGCAAACGTTTCAGATAAGCAGATGTGGTCAACTCGAAATAGCTTTACAATACGACGCCCCCATGCGTAAGATGACCGTGCACGTCCTTCAAGCGAGAGACATACCGAGTCGGGATCGTGGTCAACCCACTCATACACAGGTACGACCTTAGAGCATTTGTAAACAATGTTCCTTGAAGTTTTTCCTGTTCAGTGAAAAAAGTTGTTTACAGTGGAAATTGAGTCGTTTTTTTTTTTTTGGTCTTCCTAACTGTAACATAATTTTTAAAAAAAGGAAATCATCATGCTCCCCTAACTTCCCTATATTTTTTACGATAAAGGTCTAGATGATGGCCCAATGAGGGTGGGGGGGGGGCGGTCGAAAGAGGAGGTCTCCGCCACCACTGCACCATAAAAAGTTCGTGGCGGTCTCACCCCCATAAAAAGTTATGAGGGTTATATGATGGCCCCCACCCCCGAAGGGGGTTGGGGTGGGGGGATCGAAAGAGGGTGGTCATCTCAGTAAAACTCCATAAAAAAATTGAGGCGGTCTCACGCCCATAAAAAGTTATGGGGGTTGAAAGTTGATTATTTTCACAATTTTCATACACTATAATTCAAATAAAATAATTATTTTCAAGCGAGTGGAGGTGGGGGGATCGAAAGGGGGTGGTTACTTGAACAAAACCCGATAACCTAACCTGACCTAACCTAACCTATTAATAAAGATATTTAAATAACGTTTTATATAACTTTCTCGATATTTTTATGTATTTTTCATTAGTTTTACCTTCGAATATTGTTTGAGAATGACTATATAAATATTTACATGCCTAGAAATGTATAAAAATTGACATATTTATTAACTTTGAACCCCCATAACTTTTTATGGGGGTGAGACCGCCACGAACTTTTTATGTTACAGTGGTGGGGGAGACCTGCTATTTCGATCCCCCCACCTCCACCCCCTTCGGGGGTGGGTACCATCATCTAGACCTTTACCTTTTTTACTTTTAAGTAGAGTAGAATATACGTACGAATTTACAAAACAAACTAGGTAATTTCGGAAAAGCATTTGCTGTAACCATGCCATCCACAGGATAAAAGAACAAAAGCAATTGGGGATGGGAAACCATTTTGTCTACGGTCTACTGGGGTGCCGACAGGCCCATTAAAAACTGTGGTTACATCGGAGTTGTCGTTATACTTGATGTTATTAAAGTTCAAGTTGTACTGTACATACATATTTTAATTATTATGAACATCACCATATACCTTCAATACAATTTAAAAAAATTCGCTAAATGCCTAAATTACTAGTTGAAGGGACCGTCGATTGGTCGGGGGGTGGGGGGTGGGGGGTAGGATGAGTGTAGGGTTAGGGATGGTCCTATAGATTACTAGATTCAGAGGGGTGGAGGCGCAAGGGGGGGAACCAAATATAATAAAGGCATAGGAATTTTGGTTTCAAGCATTTGTTGCTCAAAGGAAATCAAGTAAAATCCGCAGCACGTTTCTAAATTAATCTGTTGGTTTCTAATCTTCGATCACTTTTGCAGATTAAATATCTTTGGGCAAACAGTTGTTACGTAACCATATTTAATTAACTTATTAAAGTTCTTTGTTTAACTACCAATTTAATTAATGTTTCATTATTGTGTTATTCACAAAAGCCCTGTCCTTGCATTTTTTTTGATTCTCTAAAAGAATTGGTAGATACTAACAAATAATTTGACGTTGGACTGGTTTGTTTGATTTTCACAGGTGCGTCTAATTTTGCTTCCTAGCAAGAAGCAAAAACACAAAACGAAAATCCGTTCTGGCGAAAATCCACAATATCTCGAGAGTTTCTTACTGCACCGCGTTAATCCCGAAGACGTCAACTCCATGGGTCTGCGACTTAGACTATATGGCTGTGAACGTATGAGAAGAGAACGTCTTATCGGGGAAGCTATAGTTAGTTTCGCTAACATTAACCTCGAGTTCGAAAACAACCTCTGGTTGAACCTAGAACCAAGAGCCAATTTAGCGGTAAGTACGTTAGATCGAAATTTTTATAAAAAATTCCTAATTTATTAAAATTAATATGAAATCAACTTCATTTCTTCACACTACAACAGATTACCTCAAGTTAATGGGAAAAAATTTGTTGCTGCTGTCAGACCTACGTCGGGAATCAAATCCGGGCTCTTGGCTTTATGAACATGTACTCTTACCACTAAGCGTGAGCCAGGGGCCCGAGTTCTATTCCTGGCGAAGGTGTGATAATAGCAATAATTTTTTTTCTCATTTTTTTCTCTCTCCAATTTCATACCTCAGTAAATCGAAAGTTTCCTTCAAACCTTCAATAATAAAAATTTTTTAGTTACACTAGTTAAACTTAATTTTAGAGATCAATTTGCGAAATAACGTGTTTTTTTTATGTAATTTTCTGTCTGAATCAAAACGTTTTATTTCATATCTCCTTTTAAACTGAGGAAATTTCTCTGAAATGTTATAACTAGGGTGGCATTTCTTAGAAGTACTATTTACTAAAAAACAGTTTATATTCCATTTTCTCATTATTGAAAATACCCGAAGAAAGATGCTTTAAGAAAATAATGTCGAGAAGTCATGCCAAGCAGGAATAATTTTAAATCCTCTTTATACTTACAAACGATTGAAAAAAACAAAGTAAAATTGAAATGCCTTTTGACGTTGGTTCATTCCGATGTCGATAACAAAACGACTTGTTTGGAAAATTTTCTAGACGTAGAGAACATTGTAACAAAGGAAAATATTTTCCTTGCATCGTCTTTGAACGATGATACGATAAAAATGACATTGTAAAACGATAAAAACTGAAACATGAACGACTGGCTTTTTTTTTGTGGGGAGGAGGCAGTTCGTGCTTTTTTTGAGTACGCAGAAATAGATCTACAAAGCCATATTTCGCACTTAGATTTTTTTTGACACTATATAATACAAGAATTTTTCCCTTTTTTGTTTTTCCTGAACATATCCCCGGTAGCCTTTATAAAATTGTCTTATTTTCAGTTAAACGGATGCACTACGGACATGATGAGTCTTTCTAGATCAGACAGCACTGGCTCGACTCATTCTATGCAACACGGTGGCGTTCCAGAATTACTTTTGGGACTTTCTTATAACGCAACTACCGGACGTCTAAGTGTGGAAATTGTTAAGGGATCACATTTCAGGTAGGTGCAGAGGAAGTGCAAAGAAAAACGTATTACAAGTTGCTTAATGCTTGCTTTCGATATTCACTGTTTAAGGAATTTAAACGTTTTTTTATATGACGTTTTTTAAATTAGAAAAAATGCATTTAATAAATTGCTTACCATTTCTTTTTAAAATACTTCAAAACATTAAATTTTTTCTTATTTTAGAAACTTGGCCTTAAATAGAGCTCCTGATACTTACGTTAAACTTCACCTGGTTAGTAGTACTGGCCAACAATTGGGATACAGCAAAACGACAGTCAGGAGGGGGCAGCCAAATCCACTCTTTAAGGAAACTTTCATCTTTCAGGTAAGTCAACCAACTCTTTTAAAATATTAAGGTCAAGAAGATCAGGCTTCATAAGCTAATATTTGGGCTTAATTTGGAACTTTATCACTCCAAAGCTAATTAACACATTAATATAATGTTTTGGAGAAACGTTTAGGCTGTCCTAATTAGAACGATTACCTTAAAAACGTATTTTACCTTGATAAAGCGTTTACACCATTCCCTATTGCCGTCTTTATTTTGCTCTACAATATGGAGAAAATCGAAACAGTAACATTATCTTTATAGAAATATTCCCGAAAAGTAGACATAAACTTTTTATTAAAAAGTAATGAAACTTTCTATTATTTACAATAATTATTTAAAGAAGTATAAACATTAAAACTCGATGACTCCATTTAATAATCTCTTTCTTGATCGTGAGTCAATCTTGTTGCCCCTTTATAGGTAGCTCTGTTCCAACTAGCAGACGTTACCTTAATGGTATCAGTTTATAACAGAAAGGGGGTGACAAAAAAGAAAGAGATGGTAGGTTGGTTTAGTTTGGGTTTAAACTCGAGCGGTGCTGAGGAACTTGCCCACTGGATGGATATGAAAGAGTTCCAACAGGAACAGATATGTCGATGGCACGTACTTATACATTCATAAACATGATGGAAACATAAATAAAAAGTGGATCTTTCATATACTTATGTGTAAGCGTAAAATAACGTCAAATGTGCACCGTTTAATCGGATGCTTATTTCCTCTAAAGTGTCTTAATTTGTAATCAAACTTGCGATCTTTAAAATACCCTTGAAACGATTTTTAAGATATTCTTAAATAATAATATAAATGATAAAACATTTGTACTTAACTATAAAAATGAAACAGAAAGGGGCATCGATTTCAGTCAAAAAATGAAGTGTTATTCTAAAAGTATTATTTCAAAATTTTATTATTATATTCGTTTCCTAGTTTTATTTGTATCTATTTTATATATTACCAAATTACACCGGGACCATTTTTTATCTGTGAAATTGCGGGATTACGTACCGTAGAATTTTCATTTTAGACGATTGTATGAAGTGGTGTTTTGTTTTATTTGTCGAATGTACATTAGTGCTTCAAGGTCGACGATGAAGATGATGACGCATTTGCGCAAAATAATCGATACTGTTAAAGATTAAATGGTTGCATAAGTAAGGAAACAAATTTACCCGCCTAAAACCAGAGAGTTTACTGCAAATTTATAAGTTGCTTGAAGATTATGGACAGTAAAATACAAAATCGGTATTTCCTAGCATCAGAGTTACAGTTACATATATGCTTAATTGACTGTATAATATATTGCTCATATTTGTTATAAAGTACGAAATGCCCTTCGATTTATTAGTGTGTAGAGCATCTATGGTGTGATGGTCGATGGTATGAAATGCTTCAAAAACTGTCAAACGATAAGATAACCTCAAATCTGTGAATTAAAAATTTAAATACTAAAAGAAATCTAAAAACTAGAGTTAACAGGACAAACAGTATGTAAAAAGTAAAAAATATAACCTCTCAATTATCACTGTTAGGTAAGGCTTAATGTTTTCTAAAAGAAAATGGATGCCTCAACTTTTGTAAACTTCTTGCGAAGACAAAAATTTAATGATGAAGGAGTCTCTTCAATAACCTCTCAAGAGCAGATGAAAGTAGAAGAGCATATATTTAGTATATACAGAGATTTTAGTTTACGTTATGAATTAGACAAAAGTTTACCTAAATTATTAAAATGGGAACATGCAAAATTTTTAATAACCAGTTTATCAAATTTACCTGGAACATATGAATGCTTAGATGCTAGTCGAACTTGGATGTGTTATTGGATATTACATGCACTAAGTCTTTTGAATATTAAGTTGCCTGAAGATATCAAAGATGCTGTGATTGAATTCCTAAAAAAATGTCAACAACCTGATGGTGGTTTTGGAGGAGGACCAGGTCAATATTCTCATCTTGCTACAACATATGCTGCTGTAAACAGCTTGTGTATAATAGGAAGCCAAAAAGCATATGATGCCATTGATCGTGAAGCTTTGCAAAAGTTTATTTGGGACTTGAAATCACCTGATGGTTCCTTTAGGATGCATAGAAATGGAGAAGTAGATGTGAGAGGTGCTTATTGTGCAATTTCTGTAGCAACACTGACAAATATCCATACCAAGGAATTATTTGAAAAGACTGCAAATTGGATTGTAAGTTGTCAGACATATGAAGGTGGTTTTTCTGGATATCCTGGAACTGAAGCACATGGTGGATATACATTTTGTGGTATAGCAAGTCTAATATTACTAAATAAAGGCTGCCTTTGTGATTCATCGGCACTTTTGAGGTGGCTAGTAAATAAGCAAATGAAATTAGAAGGAGGATTTCAAGGGAGAACAAATAAATTGGTTGATGGCTGTTACTCTTTTTGGCAAGGAGCAATATTCTCATTAGTGAACGTTTTAATCAATAAAAATAATGTGTATCATTCATGTCTCCTGTTAAGTGAAGAAGCTTTACAGAGATACATATTGGTATGTTGTCAGCATAGTGGGGGTGGTCTTTTGGATAAACCTGGAAAACCGAGAGATATTTATCACACCTGTTATACCTTAAGTGGTCTTTCAGTTGCCCAACATTCAAAAAGGGAAGCAAATATTGTAGGATCCTCAGAAAATGAACTAGCTGAAACTCATCCACTGTATAATATTACCCCTGATATGGTTTTAAAAGCTTTGACTTATTTTGGACAACTTGAAATACCAAATACAAAATCAAACTTGTGACACTTGCTTGCAAAAATGAGTTGTGCAAACTTTAATTATTTTATTAAATATGTATATTAGTCCTTCGTAAAATCATTCTTGATCTAGACATTTAAAGGTGTTGAATATACATTTAAGAAATAATTATAGAAGTGCTTCTTTTTGTTTCATCAATAATAAAAAGGGAATTTTACTGGATTTTTATACAAAATATCGTTTACATACTGTAGTTTTTTGTAATATAAATATTAAGTATTTTCTGATAAGGCCACATTAAAGATAAAGACGTGGCTGTTATGTTTATTTACATACTTCCTTAATAAAAAATTCTTTTCAAACTGAAATTAAGTTTGGCTGAATTTAAAAATTTATTTAATTTGAAATCAGTTTCTGAATTAAATATTTATCAGGCTTTTAACACCATATGTGTATATATATATACTTTTTAAGAAACATTTAGATATGCAGCGTTTATGAGAAAATTAAAGAACAGGTTACTAAAAAGTAATTACAAGTTTAGTATATAAAATAGCAGCCAAACTCGTATATAATGTTTGTCAAGGAAGTTTTGTGATACTAAAGAATTTGATTAATTGAAAATGGCACAATTTATACCTGCTACTGTATGTAAATAACAATGTTGGGCATTATACAAATCTATAATACTTGTTAAGTGTTTATTACAACAAAAAAAACACAAACTAACTATGAATTTGATGTGGTTTGTCCGAAAATCTGCAAAAAAAAATGTTAACGATATTTTTTGCCACTTAATAATATCTATATAAATTGTATTACCAATGTGATTTATATATTAAACATAAATATCAAAATATACTTTATCCCCAACAAATTTTGTTGTTGAGAAGATATCACACTCAAAAGTAATGTATACCATACAAACTATTTTCATTTATCCTTAGAAATTTGTATCAATTATAATTTATAATTTACATTTTAACATGTAAGAATAACTTTATCATAAAAAATGTAAATATATTTATTCCGACGCCCCCATGCGTAAGATGACCGTGCACGTCCTTCAAGCGAGAGACATACCGAGTCGGGATCGTGGTCAACCCACTCATACACAGGTACGACCTTAGAGCATTTGTAAACAATGTTCCTTGAAGTTTTTCCTGTTCAGTGAAAAAAGTTGTTTACAGTGGAAATTGAGTCGTTTTTTTTTTTTTGGTCTTCCTAACGGAGAAAAACATAGTACTA